TGGAGGGGGGGGGGGGGTTTATTGCTATTTTTACTGATAAGGTTTATAATGATGTAGATTTCTCCACTAGTAAATGGTTTTCAGATTCCTCAATAATAAGCTGGATAAAAATAGAAGTCAGCAGTTGTCTCAGTTTTTCTTGAGGGCCACTGAGTATTCTGTAATTGAGAGTGAAATTAATGCTCTACATTAGGCAAGTCATACTTCTTTATCAGACTGTTTTAATCTAGGAGTAGAGACCATAAGTCCTTAAGATAGTATTGCATGTTCTTTCTCCAACAGAGAGAGTTAGTAAAACTGGTGAGATCCACGTGAAGACACTGGAAGAAATTCTTCTTGAAAGAGCCAGTCAGAAACGTGGAGAATTACAAACCAAACTCAAGACAGAAGAACCTTCAAGAGCTGATGATTCTACATCGGGAGCAAAAAGCTCTTCCACTGTGCGGATCAAAACCTTCTCAGAAGTCCTGGCTGAAAAAAAGCATCGACAGCAGGAAATTGAGAAACAAAAATCCAAAAAGGATGCAAGTTGTATCAAGCTAAAGACAGATACTGAAAGTAAAAAGACAGTGGTTTTGCCACCTGTAGTTGTCAGCAAAGGACAGTCAGAGGAGTCTGCAGGAAGAGCAAGGTCAATGCAGGAGGTGCATATTAAAACCCTGGAGGAGATTAAACTGGAGAAGGCCCTGAGGGTGCAGCAAAGCTCTGAGAGCAGCTCCAGCCCCCGGCCTCAACCTGAAGCCCCCCTAGGGGCAAAGAGGCTGCTCCGAATCTCCAAAAAACCAGGTCTGTAGTATCTCTTTGCCAAATAATATTCCAAAGGACAGGATAATGTGCCACAGAATCTTCAAGGGAGTTCTTTGAAAACTTCTCAGTAAATTTTGCAGCCTAGATTCAGCAGAATAAGCTGTAGCTTATTATGTATTATTATGTAGCTCTTTGATATGTTAATACGGGTTTTGAGAGTTTACGGAACCATTCTCATCAAGAGAGGTTTTATTTAGCCTCATTTCTCTGGTTGCAGCCTGAATAAAGTAATGATGTTTTTAATGTAAATATAGGTATGAAAGAAGAGAAAAAACTGGAGGATGGCAATGAAGTTGCTTCTCAGAGCAATGTGACTAGGACAGAGGCTAATGAGGTAAGCGTATGTGAAGTTACTGTTCATGGCAAATTAAGACTAGGTGAATGATAATGTGCTTTTTAGTTTTAGCTTATAGTAAATTTCAGTCAAAAATTTCACCAGTACATTAGGTAAATATTCTTTGTGGTTCTAATTTGTTTGTTTTGGTAATTGTTTGGGGGATAGAGTTTCTCACTATGTAAACCCAGTATGTCCTTAAAATTGAAGCTGCCTGGCTTGGCCTTCCTGAGTGCTAGATTACAAGCCCAGAACTGTGATTATAATTTCCTATGGAAGTTTCTTATGGTTCTTTTTATGTCAGTTTTCTTTGTCCTCAGAGTTATTTTAATTGGCCATTAATGTTTTGCTAGACAACATAAAACATGTAAAACTTTTCTTTTTGTGTGGGGGGGTGGTTTGTTTGTTTGAGCTATAGCCTCATATAGCTCAGGCTAGCCTTGAATTAGCTATGAGCCAAGGCCCTTGAATTCTTTTTTTTAATATTTTATTTGTTATTTTTATTTTACGTGTAGTCATGTATTGCCTGCATGTAGGTAAGTGCACCCGTGTTGTGCAATGCCCGCAGAGGTCAGAAGAGGCTGTCGGATCCCCTGGGACTGGAGTTACAGACAGTTGTTAGCTGTCATGTAGGTGCTGGGATTCGAACCCAGGTCTTCTGCAAGAACAATCAGTGTTCTTAACTGCTGAGCCATCTCTCCAGCCCGGGCCCCTGAATTCTTGATCCTCCTGCCTCCACCTCCAAAGTGCTGGGATTACAGGTATACACCATCACATCCAACTAGACTTTTTTTCTTTTTTTAAAAAATATTTTATTATTTTATTTTATGAGTATGCGTGTAATGCCTATATGTAGGTAAGTGCACCCATGTTGTGCAATGCCCGGCAGAGGACAGAAGAGGCTGTCAGAGCCCCTGGAACTGGAGTTATGGACAGTTTTTAGCTGCCATGTGGGTGCTGGGATTCAAACCCAGGTCTTCTGCAAGAACAGTCAGTGTTCTTAATTATTGAGCCATCTCTCCAGCCCCAACTAGACTTTCTTTAAAAAAGAATGAATAACCCAGGCATGGTGATAGAGGCCTATAATCTCAACACTTGGAAGGCTGAGGCAGGAAGATTTTGAATTGAGGCTAGCCTGAACTATGCAGATCTTCTCTCAACCAAAACAACAAACCCTGTTACATATTTTTTTCTTCATGAATCTCCTTTAAGCCTTTTGTGTCTGTATGTGAACTTAACATTTACCTCAGGTTGAGAGCTATGAAGTATACCATTTTGCAGCCTGCCTTAAGCTTTGCATTTTCAGTAATTCCTTAAGCTGTTTTACTGACTACATAATCTAATTTGTGCCTATGTAATCTCTTTCTGGATATTTAGATTTTATCTTACTCAGTTATAAACAAAACAATACCTTTGCTTAATCTTCATGTATAAGGCCTGGTCTGGTGGTGCACACCTTTAATCCCAGCATTTGGGAGACAGAAGTAAGCAGATCTCCGTGAGTTTGAGGCCAAGTTCCAGGCCAGCCAGAACTACACAGTGAGTTTGAGGCCAAGTTCAGGCCAGCCAGAACTACATAGTGAGACCCTGTCTCAAAAAGGCAAAACAAACAACAACAAATCTTCATGTATTAGGTGTCTGATTATTTAATAGTCATTAGTGTTTAACTTAGGGTCATGGTGATATAGCCTATAGAATCTGGGCTTTTCTGTTTTCATACATGTTTGGTTCTAATCTTTCATATTTATCAGCATGTCCTCTGTTTAATATCATAGTGAGCTTTCTCTCGGTCGGGTTCTAAATCATACTGTGCTAGCCTATTTATAAAGTTATAAATGAAAATCAAGTTACTAGAGAAAGACTAATTCTGTCATTTTTTTCCACAGACTTCAGATGAGACTACAGGGGATATCACTAAAGTTCCAGTCAAGAGATGTGACACCCCAAGAGAGAAGCACATGCAGAAACAGCAGGAGAAAGAGGCCTCACAGAAAGAGAAATCAGTCTTGACACCTCTCCGGGGAGAAGGAGCCTCTTACTATACTCAAGTAGTGGAAAAACCAGTGCTCACTGCTGTATCAGGCATCACACGGCACCTGACCAAGCAGCTTCCCACAAAGTCATCCCAGAAAGGGGAGGTAGAAACCTCTGGAATTGGGGACTCAATATTGAATGTGAAATGTGCAGCACAGACTTTGGAAAAAAAGAGTAAAGGCAAGTGATTTGTATAGTGTGTCTTCCTTTAAGGTATCAAAACACCAAGTTTCAGTTACAAGAGTTGAGTTGTGGTCACACAGATAGGTAATAATATTTTTTTGATAGTGTTCTGCAAAGTTGAACACAAAGCCCTAAGATCAGTCCCCAAGACCATGTAAAGCCAGGTATGGTAGTTCACTTCTGTAATCCCAGCGCAATCTGTATTAACCAAGAGGGACAGAACCAATAAAATGAAAGTACACACACACACACGCACACACACACACACACGCACACAGAGGTTTTTTTTAAGGGGTATTTATTGGGGCTGGAGAGATCTCTCAGTGCACTGGTTGCTCTTGCAGAGGACCTAGGTTTGGTTCCTAGCACCCACGTGCTGGCTAACAGTGGTCCATAAGTCCAGTTCCAGGGGTTCCCACACCCTCTCTGGCCTCCGTGGGCATTCATGCACAAGGTCTACTTGGATGCAAGCAAAGCACTTATACACATAAAATAAAAATAAATAGCCAGGTGTGGTGGCGCACGCCTGTAATCCCAGCACTCAGGAGGCAGAGACAGTCAGATCTCTGTGAGTTCAAGGCCATCCTGGTCTACATAGTGAGTTCCAGGCCAGCTGGGGCTATAGAGAGACCCTCTTTTAAAGAGACCAAAAAATAATTAAATAAAATTTTAAAGGGGATGGTCTTATTAGATTGGCTTACACAGTACAGTCTGGCTTGTCCAACAATGGCTGTCTCATACTGGAAAGGCTGAGAACCAAGGCTGGGTACTTCAGCAGTTCTACTCTTTTGTAATTTGTAAATCAGTTAATCATATGATGAGGTGTTAACTTTGTTTTTTGACAACTTGAGCCCTATGGCTTCTGAAGAGAAAATTCTCTTTCAGGACACAGAAATTTTTAGTTTATGTGCATCAGGAGGTGGGTAATTTAATAACTGAGCTGCTGTTTTTTTTTTTTTTTTTTTTTTTTTTTTTTTACTTTTTCCAGAGTTGCTAGAGGCAAAGAGCCAGCATCATTATTTTATTTACTTTTCCACAAATGTCCAAAAGTTTTTGGGTTTTTTGTCTTTTTGAGACAGGGTCTCCTGTAGCCCCAGCTGGCCTGGAACTCACTATGTAGACCAGGCTGGCCTTGAACTCACAGAGATCCTCCTGGCTCTGCCTCTTGAGTACTGGGATTAAAGGTGTGTGCTACCACGCCCAACTCCCAAAAGTTTCATACACAAGATCATATACAAGATTACTTACTTGCTCCTCATAAGAGTTGAATCAGGAAGTGGAGACAGGAAGATCAGAAGTTCAAGGTCATCTTCTGTTTCATAGGGAATTAGAAGATGGCATGGGGTATGAGACCCTGTCTCAAAAAAAGAAAACTAGGGGAAAATGGACAATCTTTTTTAAAAAGAAAAACAAACCTGGTGTGGTGATGCATGCCTTTGATCCCAGCACTCACGAGGCAGAGCCAGGTGGATCTCTGTGAGTTCAAGGCCAGCCTGGTCTACATAATGAGGTCCAGACCAGCTGGGGCTGCAGGGAGACCCTGTCTCAAAAAAATAAAAGAGGAAAAGAAAAACAGATATAAATAAAAGCTTTATCCAGAACTTCTGTTCATCTTTCCTCTGTTTTTTTTGTTTTTTTTTTTTTTAAACAGGTTTTCTATTTAGCCCAGCTGGGCTTGAACTTTCAATCCTGCCTAGTCTTCCAGGTGCTGGGATTACAAGTGTTTACAACCACACTCAGATTTTCCTCTAGTTTTGCAAAAGAAAAACATGAGGGAATACAAAAGTAACACTGAAGAGCCAGTGTAGTTTAGTGTGTCCATCATAACTATGTATGTAGTGAATCATTCTCATTCGAACATTTGCTTTTTTTCTGTATTTCTAATACCAGAGGCTTGTATCTTATTCTGAGTTACAGGAGAGAGATTATTGTACATTTTAATCAGATATGTTCTGTCTGTTACAGCTAAGCCCAGAGTAAATGTGAAGCCATCTGTGGTCAAGGTTATTTCATCTCCCAAATTGGCTCCAAAACGCAAGGCAGTAGAGATGCACCCTGCTGTCATCGCAGCTGTGAAGCCACTCGGCTCCAGCAGTGTCCTGCAGGAAAGCCCAGCCAAGAAAGCAGCTGTGGTAAGAAGCAGTCTCTTCAGTGGTACTTAATTCTGTGTGGCAGGAAAATTTCTGTCTGTTTCTCTGACTGTATCTGCATATAATACTTTATGAGATTTTCTGAGCATTTTGGTTCTTTTAGGCTGTCACTCTGTTTTACGTTTATAGTTGAATATTTGTGAAGTAGCTGGACAGCAGTTTGTAAAGCTGATTTGGGGGCGGGGTGGCAATGTATTTTGCTACTATATACTAAGCTTTTGTTTGGATTATTGATTCTTGGGTTCCAGATTTAAAGAATGGTATGGGATGAGGATATAGCTCAGTGGTAGAGTGCTTACCTAACATGTGATCTCTAGCACTGCCAAAACAGAAACTAAACCAATAACCATGATTCTAAGAAGGCAGCAAATGAAAATATGCTTAAGTAAAAAAGCCTGATGCAAGCTAGGAAAATGGCTCAGTGAGTAAGAGCACTTGTTGCATAAGCATGAGGACCTGCGTTGAATCCCCAGCACCCATATAAAAAAGCCTCCCAGACAGTAACCCAGCATAGAACTGGGAAAATGAACAGCAGACCCCAATCTTATCTAAAGGAATATTGGCAGCTGATTGTTGCTAGGTGAGGAACAGCTGACCTTCCTAAAACAAGGAACTCTAGATAGGCTGACTAGATTCAGCAGATGGACAAGCACTGGGGAATGGATGGGGGCGCCAACAATACAGTGGACAGTAACAGGAATGACAGACAGATGACAGGAGTATATGGGCGGGGGGGGGGGGCCGCTATGGAGGGTGCCGTTTGGGATGTGGGTATGTAGATAAGATTGTTTGGGATGTTCTGTATGAAATACACACACAAAGAAAAATCAACAAATAAAAAAAATGAGTTATATAGTTGAAAAAAAATTTTTTAATTTGAAAAATCTTAAAAAAATAAAAATTTTAAGTTAAAAAAAAAGCCAGGTGTGACCGCATGCATGCCTATAATCCCAACATTAGGGGTAGAGCATTATCTGGTAGCTCCCAGGTAGGTCCTGGGAGCTCACTGGCCAGCTGGCCCAGCCTAGCTTTAACAGCAAGCTTGAGGTTCGGTAGGAAACCCTGTCTTTTTAAAGGGAGTAAGGCAGAGAGCAATAGAAGACACCAAACATTCTTCTCTGGCTTCCACATACATGCACATGGGTACATACAGCTGCACACATATACAATATACACCACAAGAAAAAAAGCCTTACTCCTGTTAATTTACCTTATTCTTAACCTTTTGCAGGCTGTTGTTCCACTCCTGTCTGAAGACAAATCCGTCACCGTGTCTGAGACAGAAAAACCTAAAGACAGGTAATACCCTCTTAACCAAACTCCAGACCACTATTACTGGTTTTGTCATCTAGAGAATAACACCTATAAATAAGTGAACATTTACAGGTTAGGCACAGCTAAGTAAATTTGCTGAACTTTACACGAAGGACAAAAAAGCATAAAATTCAGAATGTGTGCTCTCCTTCAGAGCTACTATTGATATTTTACTATTTGATATTTTATTATTTAAAAGTTACTTAAAATACCTGGCTAAACTTGGTTCCAAATTAGTGAAGTGTCCTTTCACATGTTTCTCCTCAGAAAGTTTTTGTTAACTGTGTTCTTGGGACTGGGTAGCACAGCATCTATGGAGGAAGGGCACAGCGAAGTCTAATAGTTTTTCTTATTTCTCACCTACAGTTTTGTGCTGCCTTCGACCCAGTCTTCTTCGGAGCCCTCACCCCCAGAAGTATCTGGCCCTTCCTCATCCCACGTGGTTGCAAAACCTCGCCGACTGAGCTCTGCCTCAACAGGAAAGCCTCCACTCTCTGTGGAAGATGATTTTGAGAAATTAATCTGGGAAATTTCAGGAGGGAAATTAGAAGCAGAGATCGACCTGGATCCCGGGAAAGATGAGGATGACCTTCTGCTTGAGCTGTCAGAAATGATCGATAGCTGAAGGTGATTGTGAGAGCACTTAAAACAACTCATCAAAAAACTGGACTTAGATTCATCTATTTTAACTTTTACCTGAGGTGATCATTTCTTTAGTGTTGAATTTGCCTGAAATCAAAAGTATACCTCTGAAGTACCTGTATATGTCCTGGATTCTCTTGGGGTCAGGTCTTTTAAGTCCCTTGATAACCATTTTGTGTATTTGATGCCATTGTTTAGCATCTTTAAGAAGAAAGTTCTGTAATACCCTTCTCTCCACAAAAATGAGACTGAGCGATCCAGATAAACAGGGTGCAAGAGAACTCAGTGACTCCTTGAGGTGTTTGTCAGTTTGGGCTGTTTTCCTCTTTGCTGTATTCTTTTATGTATTGTCTTAATGTGCTTAATATTATCAGAGTTTAAAATGAAGACAGCTGCTACCATTGTGGACCAAATTTCATGCTACCACTAAACAAAACCCCACTCAGTCTGTGTTAAATTGTATGTCTTTTTAAAGCTATTTGGAGACTCATCTAAGCTTTAAAGAGGGCAGAGCAGCTCAAGAAACATGAGATATGGTTGTAACTCCTTGGACCTAATCTCGATGCTTTAGCTGCTCTGTAAGCCTCTCAAGAGCAATAGCTAATTTATTATTACTGTAATTTTTTAAAGGCTTTAAAGTGCCTCAGGGGTCCCCTGAAACTAATTTTCTACTTCTGGGATTCCCTGGATTCTTTATAAGAGATGGTGATATGACTAGGGAAATTCTTTTTTAGTGTGAAAATTGTCCCTTTTCTTCAATTGTCCGTTTTCTGCCCTCTTCTTCTGGCATTGAATTATCACAGAGACAAAATTTGGTTAATTTTTTATTTCTAGCTCTCCCAGCTTAGTATTTATTTGATGTCCCTTAACCATGGAGGAAGAAAAAAAAAAAAAAAAAAAAAAAGACCCCTCCAGGCTGCCAGTATTTACCTACAGACTGCAGCAGTACACTGAATTGTACCATAGCAAGGGTGCCGAAATGCTCTGGGGGTGTATTGTATACCTTCCAGTTTTCATTTCTGAATTGAGTTTTCTTTTCTTGATGTTGGTCTCCCTCATATCACCTCAAGGTTTAGACTTGTGAAGGAACAAGTATGATGAGGATGATAGTCTTGGAATGAGACATGCTGTACATAATTGGAAGGAGGAGGAAAGAAGGACTTGCTCATTGTGACATTTGCTGTAGGTGGCCAGTTTGTTTCTCATAGGGAAATCCTGAACCACCTGTCATGTTGGCTCCTAAGGAACTGCTGTTGTAAGCGGCTCATCAAGAGTTGAACTTCATGTAGCCTTGTTGGGAATGTGGAAAAGGAAGAAAGCCACAGGACTGCCTATTCAGTCTTGGGAAGATCTGGATGATTCTGCACATGCAAAAATGACTTGAAGTTTATGTATAGACACTCTACAATCCATCTTCAGCTGACTGAATGTTGTATGATAGCCCTTCTCCAAAGCAGGGGTGAAATGTTCTGGTTTCACCACACATTTTATAAACTCATTTTCTTTTTGGAATTGGCCTATAGATTGCAGGTCCCTTTTGTATATAACCTTTATTCTTTTGCTTTAAAAAAAAAAAAATTGTTCCTATTTAAAGCCCTGTATTAGTCAATGATTCATGTTCAGCATTATTTGAACCATTTGCCATTACAGAAAGAGAAATACTTATTTGTGTTTTAAATAAAACTGGTATAGGAAATACTTAGTTCTTACCATTATGACTCAAGTGATGCCATTTTTTTTTTTTAAGTAGGACAGGTTTAAAAATGATCTTAAACCGGATGTGGTGGCACATGCCTTTAATCCTAGCACTCAGGAGGCAGAGGCAGGCGGATATCTGAGTTCAAGGCCAGCCTAGTCTACATAGTGAGTTCCAGGACAGCTGGGGCTACAGGGAGACCCTGTCTCGAAAAGACCCCCACCCCACCCCCCAAAAAGTGATCTTAATAGTCAGTGATTTAGAATTTTCAAGCATGAAGGTAGGGCATGGGAGCTGGTGAGATGGCTCAATGGGTAAAGGCACTTGCCATACAAGCTTGGCAACCTGAGTTTGATCCCTGGAATCCACATAAAGGTGGAAGGAGAGAACCAACTTAACAAAGTTGTCTAACTTCCACACATTTTGCCATGCCATATGCACTCTATAAACAACAAAAATTAAAAATGTGCTGGGTGTGGTGGCACACGCCTTTAATCCCAGCACTTGGGAAGCAGAGGCAGATGGATCTCTGTGAGTTTGAGGCCAGTCTGGTCTACATAGTGAGTTCCAGGCCAGCTGGTGCTACAGGGAGACCCTGTTTCAAAAAGAAAAAAAAAAAATTAAAAATGTTAGGATCCATGAGATGACAAAATGTGTTTACTACCAAGTCTGATGACTGAGTTCAGTCCTCCCCTGCCTACCCACCTACCCATATGGTGGAGTGAAAAATTTGACTCCTGCAAGTTGTCTTCTGACCTCCACATGCATTATGGCATACATGCATCTACCTTTGTGGCCAGGCATGGTAGCTCACACCTTTAATCCCAGCACTCAGGAGGCAGAGGCAAGCAAGTCTCTAAATTTGAGGCTAACCTATTCTAGATAGCATACATGCATGTTCCACGCAGCCAGGGCTTCATAGTGAGACCCTGTCTCCAAAAAGAAAGAAAAGGGCTTGAACACAAAATATTTGATCTTTAACCATGTTCTTAACATTATATAATGAAATAAGAAAAAAAATTTTTCAGTGATTCAAGAACAGCAATCTAGGTTTTTTGATGTTTTTTTTTTTTTTTTTTTTTCGCGACAAAAAGGCTCTCTGTAGCCTCAGCTGGCCTGGAACTCACAATGTAGACCAGGCTGGCCTTGAATTCACAGATACCTGCCTGCCTCTGCCTTCCGAGTGCTGGGATTAAAGGCATGTGCCACCATGCCCAGCCATAATCTAGGTTTTATATATTTTTAAAGTTTTTAAGTTTCAGGGGCTTGAAAGATAGTTTTGGTTAAGAGCACTGGCAGCTCTTACAGAGGACCTGGATTTGGTTCCCAGCACCCACATGGCAGCTAACAACATAACTATAATTCCTGGGGATCTGACATCCTCTTCCGGCCTCTGTGGTATTGCAAGCATGAGTGCACTTACATGCAGGCAAAACACAAAAATAAATTTTAAGGAACAAAATTTAAGAGGTTTTACTGAATTACTAATATTAATTTATATTTGATTGGATTTAACTCCTGAGTGGCAGTTAGCAAAGACCAATGACTTAAAACTTGGCTTGCCTTTGCCACTGATTGTTTTTTTTTAATTTTATTATTTTTATTTTCTTTATGTGTATGCATGTATTGCCTGCCGTACAATGCTCAAGGAGGACAGAAGAGGCTGTCGGATCCCCTGGGACGAGTTACGGACAGTCGTTAGCTGCCATGTGGGTGCTGGGATTCGAACCCAGGTCTTCTGCAAGAACAACCATTGTTCTTAACTGTTGGGCCATCTCTGCAGCCCTTGTCACTGATTTTTAAAAATCTTGGACTTGTTTTCAATTAGGAGTGAAACAACAGTCTATTGAACTAAGTACTGTTTACAGTCAAGGTGCTGGAGAAGGACCTTAAAAGAAAGATATTGAATATGTGTGAGAGAGAGAACTAGATGGAGCGGGAAAATATTCAAATGGACAAGAAAATCGAGGTGAAGGACAAGGATACACAAGGAACCCTTACCTGGTAAGATAACTATGGTGAGAAGTCACTTGTCTGTGTTGGGAGCTGAAGGGGTGGTCACCTTTAGAAAAGCCACCAAATATGCTGACATGGATTAATGCAAAGAATTTCGGACTCCTACCTCTTGAAGAGGCACAGAATAGAAGTTTTTGAACTTAAACTAATTAAACACTACTAGTCGTTAGAGATAGATGGGCATAAAAGTCAAATTCCTGCTCTTGGGAATGAAGTACTTAGGAAGTAATTTTAACAGGAACAGGAGTGATCCAGGCCGATTGCTCATGCCTGTAATCGGGAGGCAAGGCAGGAAAATCAGGAGATCAAGGCCAGCATGGACTGTAAGACTGTTTCAAACAAAAACAGGAGTGGAGTAGGTGTACGTTTTAAGTGGATGATGGTACAGACAAAAGAATTTTGGAACTGGTCAAGGATGAGTTGGAGTTTTAGTAACTTTTTTTCTTTTTTATTACTTTGAAGCAGGAACTCGTGTTACCTTGAAACTCCTATGTGGCCATGGATGACCTTGACTTCTGATCTTACTGCCTCCACCTCTCAAGTGCTGGGATTGCATATGTGCATCACCATGCCTACTTTATGTAGTGCTAGGGACTGAACCCAGGGCTTCATATATGTTAAGCAAGCACTCCATCACCTGAAGTCACATCCCTAGCCCATCTTAAAAGGAGATGATTTAAGCTACAGAGTGCCAATCATGTACCTCCCTAATACCTGTCCCTCTCCAGCAGCCTGGTCTCTTGCCCTCTCCTTTTGTTAATGTTAATGCTGTCCCTCCTCCCTAAAAGCCTGTGACTTTCAGGCTTTCTCTTCCAAAACCCTCCTTTCCTCAAACAAGACTGATATATTTACCCTTTATTTTAAAGTTGTTTACCAGTACTTCCCTGGTATAGTACTGAGGATAGTTCGGAAATAGATAGAGTGCTTGCCTAGCATGCAGAAGGCCCTGGATTTAATCTTCAGCATTAGAGAAACATGGGGGTGGGGATAGAGGGGAAATAGAGGGGAAGAGAGCTCTTTGAGATAGTTCCTTGCCTTACTGTTTGTAGCTAATACGGGAGGCCTGGCATTCAGTTCTTGTGGAGAAATAGAGACCTCTCTGAGGTCTCATTACTATTTTGTTTATATGGGTTCTGGGGATGGAACCCAGGGCAAGTACTCTACTATCTCCAGCCCCTCTTGCCCTATAAGGACACTAAACAAATGGGTTTTAGGTACCACCAAGAAGATTGCATGAGATCTTAATTATCTCTTGAAAAGCCCTATCTCAAAGTTAAAAACAAAAGGCCTTAGTTCCAAATACAGTCACATTCTAATGTACTAGGGGGTGAAAGCTTCCAACAGTTGAGTAAGGGAAACACTATTCAGTCCTTAACAGAAGGAATAAAATACTTGCTGAATGAATGAAAAGTTCTTGACTTGCTTCAGAGGATGCTGGTCTTTGCTAGGGTACCTCCATCTCTTCCTAACCCCATTCTTTGTTATGCTTTCAATAAGTCATAGCTATTCAGCAAGTTGTGAGACTTCTAGGTGAAATGGAAGGAACAGCATCAGAACGGAGAAAGTTCTTAAATGAGAAGTGGCTGGGATGTTGATGTCTGTAATCCCAGTCCTGTGATCCCAGAATTTGGGAGGCAAAGGCAGAAGGATCAGGAGTTCAAGGTCCGCCTGGAGTACCAGGAATACATGAAACCCTTTGCCAATAAAATTAAAAGTAAATTAATAAAATGATATTTGGGAAGCCTAGAGCTGACTCTTTGCTCAGGAGTATCTTTTTGAGCCAGTACTTCCCAAGCCCATGTCACAAATATTCTCAAATTTATGTCACACATACCTTTGGAGTGTTTTGAGAACCTCAAATTCCAGAAGAATATTATGATTTGTTACAATTTTTGAAAAAGCAAACGAAGCCAGGCATGGTGGTGCACACGTTTAATCCCAGCACTCGGGAGGCAGAGGCAGGCGGATCTCTTGTGAGTTCAAGGCCAGCCTGGTCTACAGAGTGAGTTCCAGGCAGCTGGAGCTACAGGGAAACCCTGTCTCAATAAAAAGGAAACAGGCTTCACCATAGTGAAACTATTTCCACTTTTGAACATATTCACTAAATTGGTGACATATTCATTCATATATCAACAAATACAGTATAATAAAATGGCATTCCAGGACTGGTTGATGATACAACTCCATGGTTA